ACTGCCTTCTCGTGGCGGTGTTTTCCCACCAAAGCAAAGGACACAAAGCCGACATCCGGGGATATAACTGGCAGTTCATCTAGAGGAGTTGGTCAAAAACTTTGATTCCAAACCAACCAAGAGGAGGCGCACGAACCACACATACAACTTCCTGGTTGTGGCAGTGGTCGCCGGCTTGATTGAGAATCGAAGTGTATTGGGCACCTTGGACGTTTGACCCCGTCCAAACAGCGTATGATCCGATGAACTGGAAACCGGACCCCAATGGATTGCGCTTTTCGCACACCGCCCTGCGGCCTTGTGGGTCAGTCTTTGGTTAGTGTAAGACTCCGGTTGTGAATTTCCCAAGAAATTTCACCTACCTTCCCACGAGCAACCTGGCAGTATTCCACCCACATGTAAATCATGGAAAATCTTTCCTTTTCATAAAGATTATTGTACAATAATTTGTCTGGCATACAGTCTGGATTCAGACCTGTATGAAATACATAAATATATATATTTACGAACTAGTGATGATTGTGCGAAAATTCCGGAGATAAACAAAAGACTACAAACAAAAAAGGCGAAATTGATCCATTGTTCATGTACAGAAATCAAGCGTAATTCACTTACTGTGCGCCAGATGAGGTGGATCCTTTCGCGTTTGGCGACCGATCATTGATAGCCGAATTGAAGGCCTTATCCATCTGGTTACGGAAAGTGTTGTTTCCATCGAACACCTCATCCAAAAACTTCGTGAATCGATCGCGCAATTCTAACAGACTATCAACGAAGTGACCAGAAGCAGCCTGCGACAGAAAAACAAACAGGATCAACTCACAAGTTACAAGCACCAACCGCGCCAGAAAATATAAATTGTGTTAAACAGTGTACACATTACACGTCTAGAATTATGATCGGTAGAGATATAACGATAAATCTGCTCGAAAAACTCAAATCAGTCACCGTGACTAGAAAGGAAACAAACCGGGACAGATTGGGTGGTCTCTGCCTGAGCCCTGGACAAGCGAGAAATGTAAAACAGAATGGTGGAAATCAAGTGAACGAAGAAACTGTCAGCGAAATATATTTACAACGAAAAAATCACAATAAAAACGACTAAGTGATTATTTTAAATAAAATCAGAGCGACCATGAGAAATATAAAATCCGTGGAAGGTTCTGACTAAAACTAACCTATTATCCACTAAAAGGACTTTAACACGCTGCTTTTGTGAAAATATAGTTGGTCATAATAACTTAACTTCTACCGATACCGGCGTGAGGACGGACAGAGGGGGTGAACTTTATAATTACATAGAGCTAAATGTGGCCCGTAGACCAGTACTAGGCGATGGCATCCCAATTCCGTTTTAACTTTGAATCTTGTTTATTAGAACTCTCCAGCCTTACATTGCCCCACTATTCTGGAATGTAGGCAGACAGTAACAAGTGATTATTTATGGGTTTCATACATCTAGCTTCCGGTCCTCACTTTTTCCACAGAGCAGCAGAACCGAGAAATATCCTTCCCCTGACCATTATTCTCCCGCCTAAAACCCGTAGCTCTTCAAAACAAGAACTTACAAACTGAATCCATTGTAAACATCAATTCTCAATATTATTCAGTTTTTAGAGCTTCTGCAATACGGGGTTTGCCCCTTAACCTGACCAATAAAAGTGCTACTTGGTCACAGAAATTAGCATTCTAGCCGTGAGACTTGGAGCAGCAAACTCAGCTGTTAAAGGTATGGTCTTGCAACGAGAGACAGCTGGAGTAAAAAATTGGTGGGGTTCAAGCAGAGACCCACCTGCAGGTGTACTGTAAAGTCAGCTAATCTAAACAATGTGTATGTTTTACGTGATCATGTGTATTCAATTTGTCATATAGCGCATATCCAAATAAACAAAAGAAGTGGAAATGTAACGCACCGTCGGTTCAGTGGGCAAGTTAGACAAAGCTTCCCGGGTACATGCTGCAACGTGTTGTCCAAACCATCGAGCCAATTCAGTGTATAAATTATTTGGCGCCAAAAGCAAATACAAGTTGTGCAGATCTAAACATGGATAAATGAGAAATAAAACGAACAAAGAGCATTTATATAAAAAGGACGATGAACGATTGATAACGCATCACCAGAGTAATTATTTAAATGCCTTCGCACAAACCAGCTTTGCGAGAAGTATCGGATAGAAGAAGTATCTTTGGGCTGGCGAGCTCTCATATTCCTTAAAGCACACCTCGTCGGTCGTGATCACATACTTCTAACTCTCATTTGTCGCTAGTACAACCTCAGTTGTGCATAAGCGGCCATACAGCGGGACATCGTTCGCAAGGCAGGCTAAACTAAGTTGAGCGTAACTAAGGCCTCAGCCCCTCCCGGGCTTAATTTAATCGGGTTTTCTTTGTTGGCTATCGTTTCAGTCACTCACGTTTCTACCGCTCCGTTTTACTTTACGTCGGCTCACCGAGCGATACCCATGATTTATTGTTCGCATACGGAGTGAAACCCTTGCCATGCATTTGTTCAATAAACATCTTATCGCGAAGTGAACCATATCACCATAAGGACTCGCTGTTTAGTTGTGGTAATCAGCAGTCTAAACCCTGGGACTTGGATTAGCGAATCACAAAATGCCTCGCAAAGATTCGGTGTTGAACCGAATGACAACAGAACTACTAACCATCAAATTTGGGTGGCAGTAGTTGGGTTCGAACTTTGGACATTGAAGCTCAGGGAACAGCAATGACAGTGAATCAAACCGTTTGCTTACCATCACATTTGGAGATCATCAAACGTGGCAAGCAACTGAGTTCCGCACACATGAGAACGATGAATTAAGTTATCCGGTGAGCGGATCATGGAATGCCAAGAAAATTTCCGAGAATAGAAAAACATTGAATGAACCAGACTTGGGTGTGTAACACGCGGTTGCGCCGAACACAATTACGATCTACGGGGTACTTACCGGTTTTATGTTTCTCCGGTACCATATTTTGCACGCTTTCGTTCAAGAATTGTAGTCGATCTTTGACCACTATTGTTTGGAAGAGTTCAAAAACACTTTCACCAGAGCACTGATAATATTGCGCAACGCGATTTTCTTCCTGTTGACGCAGAGCCAGAGCCTGAACGAATGGAAGAGGTGAAATGGAGTGTGGTTGAAGGAGTAACGGATGACCTAAGGGTTTCAGGTTATGAGGAATTAAATGCCTTTTAGGACACAGAAGGAAGACAGTGGCTGATTTTGTTTTATGGAGTTTTGTGGCACTTTTGACTTGTCACATGCAACGAACACAGAAATAGGAATCGACAGAAGCCAATAGTAAATTTGAACGGAAAAGCAGTCTGCTTACTTCGTTTATGTAGCTCGAACGGGTAAGCTCCGCTGCGCGCTGTGAAGCCCAGCAGGAATAAAACTCCTGCGTTTGTTTTAGCAGAGGTTCGTGGAATATTTTGTTGTAAATGTCCATTCCAGCCTGTAATAATAGGAGAAAATGTATTCAAATTAAGTTGAGTCAATGACATACACGAGAACATAAAATAGAAATTGATAGTCAAAAACGTTATGATATAAAATTGTTATCTGAAGAAGCAACTACTTTCTCTTTGTCCCATTGTGATTTTCAATAAGCGGAAACCAACCAACGCGAAAGAAAGAACATCAGTTGGAGCGTAAAAATACTTGGTAGCAAAGGTTTGTCATTCCGTTCCGTAGAAACTCCCAAGGCCAGATGGACAACTTAAGTGGAATTTAGGTGCTGAAAACGGAATGACGTTTACTAGGTTCGATCAACTGCACATATCAAACGCAGTATCACAGCTAAACCACTGCTCGCTCATGCGGTTCGCCAAAAAACCCTCGGGTTTATGGTTTCATGTGATACTATTATGATTTGATTTAGAAACATCGTCTTGTCAATCCGCGCTACGCTATAAAAAATGTTAGAATGGAAAATAAGGAAGTTGCACTTTTCATAGATGTAGATCGTGTTGTGGCTGGAGAGATAATGTCGTCGACGGGACAAAACTCGGGTCTGCTCGTTATGCGCTAGTGTATGTGAGTGGCGGATTTCGGGGCAAGAAAAAGCAAAAATTCAAAGGACGTTAATCTGGTCAAAAATCAAGGTATTTCGCGCGATGAGGTTGTTGTTGTAAAGCAGCATGATGAGGGAGTTACATCAATTCTTGAGGGGTTTGCTCATTTCTGCCGGACAGAACCGGGAAGTTTTATCAACCCAAAGTATGGAACCGAAACTTAATCCTCCAAAATTGTAAATGATGATCATTGGGTCCCAAAGTCTTATACCGTTTACGATGGTTTGCTTTTTTAGTCATCCCTATTTGGGGAGCAGTTTAGATACAATCGCACTTAGTGCCTGTTGTGAATAAATTAGCTTTCTTCGGTTGGTATTTCAGACAACGAAACTGAATTTGGAAAGCCGCCTCATGTGAACTAAATGTTGGGTCTATATTTGGAGAACGTATGGGTCAATGTATGAGTTACCTTTTTCCACAAACCCAAGTTAGCAACATCCTAATATACATTCCTTGCATCACATCATTACGCAGGAATAGAAGAGTGACACGAAGACGAGGAGAATCTTACTTTTTCATGGGTGCCTGGGATTTTGTAACAGTGTATATATATTCTCTGTTGATATATATATATATATATCTATATATCACCGGCTTAATGACAAGCATGGCGCCAACGCCAAAACAAAGATAAAAAGATAATAAGGTGTACAGTTTGATGGAAGGAAAATGAGGAAAACAGAGAACGAAGAAAAAAAGGAGTGAATAATTTTTGTTAGTTTCACAGAGATGATTGAAATGATTTTTGTCTATTATGGGAAATGGAGTTTCAACAAACAAACCTCACAACGATCGCGCCACTGAATTCTGCTTCGAGGCATATCTTTTAGCCTCTCTAACCATCGAAAATCCTCATCTATTGGACCGCAACCTAGAAGCTGGTTGAAACAACCGAAGCCATCGCTGAGGCTAACTCCTTCATACATCTGTGCTAAGTCATATTCTGAC